GGAGGGCGTATTGAGGGGAACGGACTGGAGCAGACAAGGCAGGCGCTCCCCGCCAATTTTCATGGACTCATAATTGGCGGAAAAGACTGCCCTGGCTGCGCTCCACTCCACGCCCCGTTCCCACTGCCTATTGTTAGCAGGGATCATAACTGTCTAGGATGAATGACCTTCCATATAATGAAAAACCACTGAGAAGATCCGCGTCTTCGAGGTAAAATGAAGGGAAAAGTTGCAAGTTCCCCTTTTGCATTTCCTCTCCAGAAGTCGCATTTTTCAACCCGACAGGGACTTTCGCTGTACTCACCAAAGTAGTTCCCTCCAAGGATAACCAATTTTTTCAGTCGTTTGGCGAACTTTCTGTCCAGTTTGTAAGCCAGCGCGACGTTCGTTAGCGGTCCTATGCAGACCAAAGTGACGTCATCGTGCTCCTTTGTCAGACGAATGAGCGCCAGTGCAGCCGATTCATCCTCATGTATTGTGAAATCTTTAGGAGAGGCCTGAAAGGATAAGAATGTTTTGATGTCGCTACAGGAAGCACTCCTAGAAGGAGGTATTTCTCTTACGAGCTTCAATCGAGGGGCATCTTCTCAGGTCAGCATGGTTTACCCCACACTGCCAACATGAAACGCGTTAAAGGGGGGGGGACAAACGACGTGAAGTTGTTTTCACTGAGACGCTGGGGCGTGTCAGGGAACCTGGAATAGGAGCAGACCTGCTCGTTTCCCACCAATCGTTGTCGCTTGCCCGTTTCAATTATTGATGGAGAACGGAATTTACCCCCACCCCTTCAAATCCGCCCCTCCCCAAATCTATCTTCCCCCCCCCTTTTCTAAAACACTCCAGCGTCGAAAACGACTGTGAGCCTTCTTCGATCAAATGTTTTGGCGCGAGCAATGAAGCACCCAGTCTCCCACATGAAGTGTTTCGCCGCTGAGAGCTGGGGGGTATAGACTAAGAGATCCGAGTTCTGCTCGCAGTACAGTAACTGGCTCAGGATTAGATGCACATTTTTGCTGAATGAATGCGTTTGAGAGCTGAATTGATAAGTTGGTGGGAATGCCGCGCACGCAACACCACTTTGGCAACAGCTCGGATCCCCTCATCATGAATGTTGGGACCGGCTAGCCCGTGGCTGCGATCATTGTCATGGACGTCTTCACGGTGACGTCGGATGGTTTCTGACGGCGCTGTTAGGCTAGGGAGAGGCACGTTGCATCTTCATTAGCTACCTTCAGACTAGAAACTCTTTATTACCTCCGGAAAAAGATCTGGTCGATCACCAATACCATCGATTCCGAAGAACGGGTTCATCACGAATGGCCGACGAATGAGTGATTCTGTGGCGCCCATATAGATTGGAATGTGTTTCTTAAATAGAAGTTATATGTTATTTCTGACTTTAGAAGCTGAGCTCCAGATGCAAAATCGGTTTACCTCAGTGAGATTGGCTCGCTGGACTCGTGCCATATTTGCAGTCGCTTGTTCGACGCTAATACATCCATGGACAGTGGTGATGGCGATCAGCTGAACACACTTTGACTGAATAATTCTCCACAATTAAAATGCAGGCACGCCACCTAAGTCAGCTTTATTCGGCTAGGCGGCGGGGGGGGGGAGAGCTTTCTGCACCTTTGCTAGTTCCTTTTGTTAGACTATGATAACCAACAGGTCTCACTTTAGCTACACCCATCCTGTGAAGCTGTGAAATTATTCGAGGGGGCACTTTGGTCGCAGCAATTCGCAGGTCATCACACCATGGCCATCACGAGCTCAGCTGGGTACCATTCGATGCTCTCTCCAAGTTGAATTGCGCTCCTAAGCATTCCGTAGTGATCCAGATCCTCAGGGGTGCCGTCCATATTAACCCCATTGAAGTCCTCTAGCGTTCAGGGGAGTCAGTACCTCAATGACAAGGAGAAAGCGTCACACGTCACAAGTTTCATTCAGAGAGATATTCCGCGCAGGTCCTATGGATGGGATCAGGATTGCGGCTGCGTCTCCCACAACAGGCCGCTCTCTCCTCCAAAAGGAAAGGGAGGCGCAACAATGTGGGTGCTTCAATAGTGGACTCAATGCTATCAGCGTTCGCTGTACTTCGAAAAGAAATTGTTAGAGGCTGAACATTGGCAGTCCTCAAAAGTTACAGATTTACAGTCCTATTCGCTGCGAATGCTGGGGCGTTTCAGCTGGGGAAGGAAGTCGGTTTGGAACAGAGTCTAACACGTTCTCTACTCACTGTCGAAGCGGGTGAGCACCAATAATTACAGGAAAACTGGCTAGCCCATGTTCGACTTTCTTGCAATCGTGGCATGATGTACATCATTCTCGTATTTCTTCTAGCCTTTCCAATATTGGTAAGACTAGAAGAATTACGGGAAACTGGCTAGCGTTGCGCCAAACCCACCCCATCAGATCCGCCT